CTGTATTAACAAAGCAATCTCTTTAGCAGTTCTGGAAAGTACACTGAACAGTACTAGGCTGATCGGATTATTCAGTACCATATGTTACAAAAGGAAGGGCTCTCTCGTTGCAACAATTCATCAGTATGCCGTAAACAGGAATGATCAATTAAAAGGAATGTACAGTACCATCAACACTTAAAAAGTACATGTACATGTACAGTGTACTGGATTGCCGGTAGAAAATTCAACTATTTTACTAAACATTAGGTATACCGGTATTGTACCTAGTATGATATCGGTGGCTCTGCTTTTTTATACCCCGCTGACTAGCAATATAGAGTCTAGCACGGAGTATGTAGGCCTACGCGATAAACGTAATACATTACATTACATTACATTAAGGTACACATGACTCGGACAGCGGTTTCAGATGACGGGTGGTTGTCGTTGGGGTTCGTTAAACGCAAGGTTGCTCGATTTTTGCCGGCTTGCGATGGCATTTATCGATTCCCCGCCAATCACTGGTATACCGCGCACATCTTTGCCGACCAAGTTCCCACCCACGCTAAACCGGCTAACGAATGAACAGTGACGACAGATCTGCCGCTACAACCCAAAAAAAACATCATCAGGCCGGGTCCAGGTTGCGCTGTGGGCTTAAAACGTGTTTCTGCTGCAGCGCGCAACATCACAGGCAACGATTATTAAATAATCCTGAAGCAGGAATAAAATCATACCCATTGGCAGCTACCTGACTATAGGTAATACCAAGTCGCACCGTTCGGTCTCTAGAGATCACAAATTGGGTCAGCTGACAAAAAAAAAAGATTAGAAGCACTTAGAGGTGGGTCGTAGTCTATTGTTTACATGCAGATGGATCTGAAACATTTGCCACCTCTTTTTGTGGGGAAAATCAAGAAGGAAATTGCAAATGTCCGCCCTTAAAAAAATGTACCATTTCAATAGCTAAGGACTTCTTTAAAACGATATCAGCAATTTTTGTACAGCTGTTCACTTCTGAGAGAATAGAGGTCATTTAATCTTACGTACACAAGCGGTCATCGAAAGACCCTCTCAACCACTATATTTGGAGGGGATTTTTATTGTGGATATCAAAACAGAGAGGATCGTATGCACTGTTGCCAAATGATTAAGCTCGCACACCGAATCGATCGGGTATCATAATCCTGTTGAGTGACCACAAACTAAGGGGTAAAATCATGGAGCTACAAATAGGGCTATACAAATATCATTTTATCAAGCTGTCACTTTATATAGACTTTTGTAAGGTAGTGATTGTGTGACGGGGTCACACAGCACCTTGCGCTAGAGGAAGTTATCTTCCGAGAGTATACAAACTCTCAGTGAACGGCAGTTCACAGGTCCCCTCTTTAATTAAAGAGAGCGAAGTGACCTAAAGAGGGTAGATTGTAAACTGAGTATATTTATAGGTAGGTTAAGTTTGTGGTTAATACAAACTATCAGTTACCTATAGAAATGCAATGTCATTTAACCAATGGTTGGTTTTGAATGACCTTGGTACCTTGTACCAAATATTCCGGAGTATGACATGTCATACTCCTGAAGTGTGAAGTGTCACACTTCATGTAACCAGGGTACACTTAGTGCTACGTACCCCGTTACAGATTGTGTTCGCATATGATGTCCGATGGACAAAATGGTTTTTTGTTTGTGACCTACCCTATAGAATGCGTAAACGTGATCTTTAGCGCAGCACAGGACTCCACAACCGTGCTCTGATACCTCCGTCGAATCCGTATCTCAAAAAAAATGATACGAATTGGCATAGTTACGTAGAAAACGCCTAGTTGACACCAAACAGTGGGTCCCGTTACTGCAACCTAATTACGACAAAACGACAGGTCTTGCAGCAACCTACCAGCCTCCTGTACACAAGAAGCAACCCCCAGAAGCAACACACGGCGTAATTTATTTTAGGGCTTCCTTCTTTTGAGAAAAAAATACCGGAACTGTGAAAGTTCCATAAGCCATTTGACAAATATCACAGTTGCCCAAGAGGAATAGCGGCTGTTGGCGCACACACAAAATGGACCAAGGCAGCAGCAAACACTTCGACGGCATTTGCTCCGATCAACTGCCACCGCCACTGTCCCCCCCAACGCTACAGCCACGAAGTAATGAAGGCACCACTCTCTCGCGTACTCGAAAGGCTATGGTTTGCAAGCAAATGCTGCGCTCTCACCTCCAGAATATCAAGCTGATAGAAGAAAAGCTGGAGAAAATCTCACAGTTTTCACTAGAGCTTATGAATGAACGAGACGAGCTGGCTCTGATGATAGCTCACGAGAAGGAACAGACTATCCGCCTTGCCGCCGCTGCTGGAGTACCTACGCACGAAACAGGCTACGTGATGTCGTTCTCAGTGGCGCTCGAACAGTGCTGCGAAGCTCTATTAGAGCACATTTAAATAAGCTTAATACAAAACTCACAGGAAGAAGACGAGACGACGTAACTATTTAAAAAATCGATACCATTTGGCGAAGGCAACTGCTCGTGTTAATGTGTTATGGTCGCAAGTAGCTCCAAGTCAGTCGCCTCTATCTCCTTAGCAATTTGGTTTGCTACAGTGTTAACTTCTGGTTGCATAACTATCATCCACATGATACGAAGCCGCATAATTGCGCTATCGTCTGTTGTAACGGCACCTTGTGCAAGCTGGAAGCTGTCCTTCAACACGGAATAAACTTG